TCCATTCTCTCGCTCTGAGACAGCTGCCCTGATGCGTGGGCGAGAATGTTCGTTGGCCCCAAGGGCAAGAGCCACGTTGGGCACTTGGGCCTCATAGGTGGAGACCCTTGCATGACCGATTGCAGTGATCTGGCAGTGCCTGGGAAATGGAGGAAGCTGCGGCAGGTCAATGGAGATGCCATCCCCACAAGGGTACACTTCAGAGGGAGAGAGAGAGAACCTGGAGCTGGAAAGATGGAGAACCATCTGTGTAGCAGCCTTGGGGCCCAGAAAGACATATAGGAATGAAGCAGGGTCTCTGGACACTGATTCTGGTCCTGGGGGTGCCTGGTTTCTTTCTGTGTTTTGCAGAAGAGAATGACTTGGAGCCTGGGAGCCCTCACCCCCCCCCCCAAATTGGGCACCGTGTTAATAAAAATCTTTTTCCTTCTCCACCAGTTATTGTGTTATGCTTGTGTATGGCGGCAGGTGGCCAAACCCCACTTTGTTCAGTAATATAACCTCTCTGTTGAATGAGGTAATGGAACAGGAATCACATGTAGTCATTGCCTATAATATTTGTCTTGAGAATAGTTTTAAAAAGGTCAAAACACTTTTCTTCCATGAAACAGATCCTGGAATAAGAGAAAAGCTCTCTATATCTCCCTTGCCTGAAGATGTGGAGTCCAGGTCTTCTTGTTTATAGAGAAAAATATTATTTCAAAAGCAGAGGGCTGAAATTAATATGTGAATATATATTGTTCAGAGTACTATAAAAGGACATCAGACCACTGTTTTCATTGGTGTCTAAGTTATATTGTCCTATAATTTTCAGTTTATTGTATATCTTAAAATAACCAACCATTTAGACCCAACCTAGAGTATGGAATCAACTTTATTTTTAAAATTTTAATAGTCCATTGAATAAGGTTGTATTTGAACCCTCTGAGGACCAGAAGTAAATATTGAGTAGCAGGCTGCATCTTTTGTTGATAAAGTTTTCTCAACCACTGTCCGTGACGATGTTAGTAGTTGCTCTTTTATATTTGGGAGCAGTGAAATATAGAGAAGACAAGAAGAAATGTATACTTCAGAGGCTTATATAATATTAGCAGCAACAACAATAGCCAATGTTTATGAAAGTATTTAAATGTACCACACAGGGTTCTAAAAGGCTTGTATTGGGTGCATTTAGCTAAAAGGAACAGAAAATTAAACTGAAACTGCCACCCCCTTGAACCCCCCCAAAAAACACACAGTTGAGACTATATAAGGTTATACTATAAAACAGGGCTAATTTGAGGGCGGACGTTTTTTTAAATTTATTAACTTTAGGGAGAAAAAGGAAGGTAGAGAAAAAACATCAACTTGTTGTTCCACCTATCCATGCTTTCACTGGTTGGTTCTTGTATGTGTCCTGACCCAGGATCAAACCCACAGCCTTGCCATATCAGGACAATGTTCTAACCAACTGAGCTACTAGGTAGGGCTGAGGGTTGTATATTCTAATGCACTCTTTGAGATTCTGAGCTTCTGTTGGCTCTGGAAAAGACATGGTTGTAGCAGGTTTGGGCTTCATATAAAAATATAACAACATCATGAGGAAGAAGCTATCTCTTAAGCGTGCCTGATGTTTAGCTTGTATGCACCTTCACAATCTATTCCAACCATCTCTTCATACTGGACAGACAGTGTTAATGCTCTACAGACTTTGAATAGTAAGCAAAGTATTCTTTGAATCATCTATGCCTACTTGATTGGAACTGATTCACTTGGCCATTTCTGAACAAATTTCTGCCATGAAAAAATGCTATATGTAGATTTCTAAATTAATAACCTAATTAAGAGAAAGACGGATTAAAATGATTGGCTCAAAATTATCAGGCCATACCTCCCTGAGCTCAGCTGGTGTCAGTATCCCAAATTGCATCATTATTATGCAAAGATGGTCGGGGTACTGGTAGAATGAATATTGAAAGAAAGCCATGATATCAAAAGTGGCATTTTACATTTATTATTTCATTTAATCTTCACCAGAACCCTGAGGTTGGCATTCTGTGAAAGCTCCTTTTTGTGATACCTAGTTGTGTGTGATGCTTAACCTCCATGCTTTGACTGATACCATATTTTAACAAAATCTCCTGACACGTGCTCTTCCATTCTTTCTCCTAATTTATTGTATTCCAGGAATTTAGAAATCATAACCAACATGTGGGAGGTTGGCACTGGTATTCATAGCACACAATATACACATTCATGTCCATGTACAGTGGTGTCCCTTATCTGAGTCAGATGCATCCAAGACCCCCAGTGGATGCCTAAAAACAGGAGTAGTATAATTCATATATATATACTGTTTTTTCCTATCCTTACATACTCATATAATAAAGTTTAATCCATACATTAGGCACAGTAAGAGATTAACAATAATAATAAAATGGAACAACTGTAATAACATATTGTAATAAAAGTTATGTTAATGTGGTCTCACCCTTCAAATACCTTATTTTACTGTACTCACCTTTCTTCCTGTGATGCTGTGAGATCATACAATGCCTATACCATAGGATGAATTGAGGTGAATGCCGTAACAACCTCGGCATGTGATTTTTTAAAGAATTTCCTTAGTGAGAACTTTCACCTATAACTTAAAGGAAGCACTTTACAGCTTCTCTTTGGTGTATCCAAGTTGGCATCATCCCTACTCTTGTACTTTGGGACCATTTTTAAGTAAAATAAGGGTGATTGGAACATAAGCACTGTGATACCTCGACGGTGGACCTGATAAGCAAGAAGGCTACAGTGACTAATGGGAGGGCAGTATATACAACACGGACAAAGGGTCGATACACAGCCCAGGTACGTCAGACCAGGACGGAGTGAGATTTCATTGTCCTACTCAGAATGGCATGCAGTCTAAATGTGTGAAATGTTTATTTATGCAATTTCCTGTTCACTATTTTCAGACCGTATTTCGCTGCGAGTAACTGAAACCAAGGAAAGCAAAACTACAGATAAGGCAGGAATTACTGTATGTTTTACCGTATGTTATTTCCCCCACTTGAATTTTTCTTTATTCCTTGATTGTTCAAACAGTTTAAGGCCTAAATGAGGTGTTATTCCTCTGCAGAGCCTTCTAAGGACCCTCCTGTTAGTTTACATCTTGTCTATCACAGCATCACCCTTGCAATGTTTTCAAATTAAATTTATTGGAGTGGCATTATTTAATAAGATTATATAGGTTTTAAGTGTATAATTCTTTAATACATCATCTGCACGTTGCTTTGTGTGTTTACCACCCAAAGTCAAATCTTCTGTCACCATATGTTTGATCCTCTTTACCCTTTGCTACCTTTCGCCAATCCCCATTCCCTCTGGTAACCACCATCTATCGTCTGTGTCTATGAATTTTTGTTTGTCCTTCTTACAATTTTAAAAACATTTAAAATCTGATTTGCATTATAGTTAAGTGTTTTTGTGCAGCCCCATATCCCTGCTTCCATGGTATAGATTTCTTGAAGGACCTTATCATAATCATCTTTCAATCCCTAATACTCTACGTATAGTAAAAGCTTAATAAATGATCATTGAATTTTGTTGAATTAAATGGAACATTACAGAGAAGCTCCAAACCCTAGGCTTTCCTATCTTCATAAGGAGAGAAAACTTTATAGGCTTGCTTAATGAAACTAGGCTAAGTTGAAGTATATTTTATATATCTAATTTATGCATTATAATGCTCAAGCAAGGATTTAAAATATTTTTAAAAGTGAAAAAATATGAAGCTAAATTTAATTGTACAGTTCTTGTACATCTCACCACCATTCTGAATGGAAGGCATCTTTACTGGACTTTGTTCACCTTCTTGAAAAGATTGGGCTGTCTCAACTCAGGTATGTGTATATTAACAGTTTTTTGGCCTTGAAAACTTTTCTCAGCACTTATCTTTGAGCTTTAGGTGAAAATTCAGTTTCTTACAGAGGCCTTCCCTATTACCTAAGTCTTAGAAATCCACCTCCATTATGTCCTCCTATCATGTTAGAGATTATCTGTTTAATTTTTCTCTTCAGTGCTAGGAAATGAATTCCTTCACTAGGACAAGGATTACCTTTATTTATTTACCACTAAACTCCCAGTGTCATATACTATGTGACATAATAACTGTTCAATACCAAAATAAGTAAATGAATGAATTAGTGAAGCCTGTATATTTGCTGCAGGCAGACTGCACATTTGGCTCAAAGTTTTCAGTAGCTAAGACAAAGAATTTTAGGATACATAGTATCCTTAGGATAAAATCATGAAACTACTTTAGGATGGAATAAGAGTTTGGGCTACCTAAAATATCAAATACTAAAATTAACAGCATAAGCACCATTTCTTGTTTTGTTTTTTAAAAGGTGTGGAAATGCTGATTTTATACATGAAAAATTACTCCCTCTGAAATCTTTTTGTTAAAGCAAAAAAAAACCCAAAAACGAAACCCCTCCTCCCCCAATTCTAACTACTTATTAGAATAGCTTTTGTCATTGTCTTCAGGACTAGAAAGAAATTCAGCCTAAATAAGTTTTATCATCAACTTCAACTAAATTAGATATTGTTATGGGCTTTTGGACAATAAAACTCCTAGGAGTTGGCAAGTATTTGTTGAATACATAAATTAATAAATAGCACAGATGACAGTCCAGAAATGGAGGCTTCTTCCTCTTTTTATTCCCACAAATTTAAGCCAATCATTCATTTTTTATTTGGTTTTAAACTTTATTTCTTTTAATAAGTTATTTGTGTGAAATGAGTCAACTAGGCTATCTTGCCTTGGAATTTCTGAACACACACAAAAAAGTGCGATTTTGAAATAAAACTCTAATTTCTTTTAAAATTTTAATAAAGTATTAATCTGTAAATTTACTTTTCATTTCAATTAACCTGGGCTTCAGTTCTAATAATGAAAGAAAATGTCAAGGCCCAGACTTCTGCATAGTGCCTGGCATTAATTAACTGAAGCCAATACATTTTTACTAAACTGAATTGAACTAAAATTTTCTTTTCATAACATTTTCTTTTATGTAACAGCATGTCTCTGGCGTTTCCCGATTACGATAAACCTCAACACTGGTTCTCTCACGCAAAAATCAGGAAATTTGTACGAGGGATTATTTTTAGGGCAAAAGGGGGCACCGAGACTTTCGTGCCTAACAGCATCTCTCAAGCGGCTGTTGGAATTCTCGCTCAGATGCCCTGCACCGACTCTGATGGCTCCAATAAAAGCGCCCGGCAGTTTCTCCAATTTCAATTAACCAAAGTACCCGGATTAAAGTTGAATTGTCAGATTGACAGGGACTTCATCCAATAGCATTGTAGGAAGGCGTATCATTTCACGGACACTCCAATCGGCTCGCATAGAGTCGCCATCTCCAGGGTGAAAGCGGAAGTAAGGCCCTTGCGCGCCCTCATGGAATCGCTCTTGCAGCACCTGGATCGCTTCTCCGAGGTTCTGGCTGTCTCCCGCACACACCATGTCGGTAGCTGGGACCCCCCGACCGTGCGCAGAGCCTTGCAGTGGGCTCGCTACATGCGCCACGTCCACAGGCGCTTTGGCTGCCATGTCCCCATTCGCACCGCACTGGAGCGGCGGCTGCAAAACCAGTGGAAGCGGGAGCATGGCTCCGGGCCCGCTAGAGTCCCCGGGTTGACGAACTTCCGGGACTTGGGCCGCTGCGACATCCTGCTGTCTCAACGCCTGCTGGAAAACCGGGCCCTCGGCAACGCCGCCTTTCATTGCCTGCTGCAGCAACTCTTTCCCGGCCCTGGCGTCGGAGACGCGGAAGAGGAGACGCTCCAGGGCAGCCTGGCCCTCCTCGCCCGCCGCCGGTCAGCTGTCCACCTGCTGCGCGTCCACGGTTTTGGAGAGCACCCGGCCGTTTGGGACGACCCAGTGGTAAAGACTCAGGCGGAGCTGCTGCTGGAGCGTGTGCAGGAGGTGGGCCAGGCCCAAGCGGACGGCCCCAGCAGGTTGCTCAGCAGCCTGTGGCAGCGCTTGCCTCAGAACAACTTCCTGGAGGTGATAGCGGCCGCGCTGCTGCTGCCGTTGCCATCTCCCCCGACCCCCAAAGAGGAGTTGGAACTGGGCACCCCCGGAACACTGAGAGAGGGGTGTCACGAGCTGGTGCACTGGCTGCTGGGGAAGTCGGACATCATGGCTACTTTTTGCCGCAACCTCCCAGCCGCGCTTTTAACTTCGGTGGCAGGCCGCCATCCAGAGCTTTTGCAGGTCTATCTGGGTCTGCTAACAGAATGGGGTCGGCGTTTGCGCTACGATCTTCAGAAGGGCATTTGGGTTGGAGCTGAGGCCCGAGATGTGCCTTGGGAGGAGTTGTACGGCCGGTTTCAAAGCCTCTGTCAGGCCCCTTCTCATCTAAGAGATGAAGTTCTAACGGCCCTGGAGTCCTGTAAGGCGCAAGATGGAGATTTTGAAGTCCCTGGTCTTAGCATCTGGACAGACCTGTTGTTAGCTCTTGGGAGTGGTGCGTGAGAAAAGACAAGTTTTAGGCCTCAGTTCGGGTCCCAGTTTTCAATGGACAACGTTCTGCTATTGCCGACTTGAATATGTGGTTTACAAAATTAAAGTTCCAGTGTCCCATCAAATCTATACTTTTATGTGTCCAAAATATTTTAGGTGTCAATTTATAATGGGAGTAATTAAAATTTACAATTATAAATACGTAAAGTAACTGGCTTGCGGTGCCATGCATTTTCTGGATCGAGGAGATGACATTGAAGGTAGCCTACTTAAAGCCAAATAATAATAGTTTGCTTTGTAGAAGGAACATTTTAAAGAATGTGAGGAGATGTACTTTTCAAACAAAAAACAGCTTTAAATTGACAGACAAGACACCTTTTTGTCGATCAGTATGGTTTATTTTGGTATATATTTTTTTACTCTCCAGTACGGGAAGAGTTTTCTATAGCCAAAAGTTGTGTTTTCAGAAATGGTTTGAAAAGCTAACGCACATCAGTCTAATTTCGGTCCTCAAACCCCTCTGAAATAAGTCTTGTCAAGGTCACCAATCATCTCCATGATGCCAAATTCAAAGGACATTTTTCTGGTATCAAACTACTTGACCTTTCTGCTACCTTAGACATTTTGACCACTCCCTGCTTTTTGAAAGTAGGCTTGAAATTCTATTCTAACTTACGTGACACCACTTTATCCTGGTTTCCCCGTATATTTCTAGCTACTTTTTTCTCAGTCTGTTTTCTGGCTAACTTCTCCCCTAATCAACCTTTCCTGGGATTTCTCAGGCTTTAATAGTCTGGTTCCTCTTTGGTATATGTCCTCATCCCATGTGATCTCATTCCAATGTCTCACAAGCCACTCAAACCACACATATCTAGACAAATCAATATCCCCACATAAGCCTGCTTATTCTCATGAATTTCTTAGTAAATAGCCAGAAACATGGGAATTGTCTTTGAATTCTTCCTCTTCGCTAATCCTTACATCTATTCCATCAACATATTTCCGCCTTCTCCCTTTTCACTCATCCCCTGGTATAGGTTATGGTGACCACAAATTCTTGTTTGCTCAGGACAGGTTTGAGTTATGCCTGATGTCCTGGCATAATTAATACAAGTGTCCCCTTTTATTCTCTAAAGTGGCCTGGGTTGCCTGATAATTTATATGGTCACTCATCCATATCTCTGCCAGATCACTGCAATTAGCTGGTTTCTCTATTTTTTTATTGTACATCTACAATCTGTACTCCACCTAACTGCTCAAGTAGTGGACTCTGTCACATTTCACTTGAGAAAACTGAAGTAATTGGAAGAGCACACATTTACCATTACATCTATCTACATCAGCACTTACACCCACATAATTCACCTTCTGTTTGTTTTCAGTGATAAATTATTCCATAACTAAGCCAATTTCAATAAACTTTAAAATATAGGATTTCTTCCAGTTCTTGGAATAGGCTGAGCTTTTTCTTAGAAACTTTACTTTCATTATTCCTTTAGCCAAGAATGTTATAACCCAGGTCCTTCACTTCTCACTTTAATTTCATTTATTCACCATAATGCCTAGCTAAATACACCTCACCCTGTTATTTTTTTTCAGACCATCCATTTTCCTATTAATTGTAGTTGTTTTCATATGTGTCTGTCTTTTCCACTAGAGCAGCAATGTTCAATTTTTATCTTACGGCACACATAAACTAATTACTAAAATTCTGCGTTACACCGAAAAATGTATATTTTGCCTGTCTGACAAAAAAAAATAGATACAATTTTGATTCATTCACAGTGGGTGGTTATTGTGGTGGCTGTTGTCAGTTTTTTATTTGATAATCTAAGGGAAAGAGGTCAGTGCCTCTGGCAAAATAGTAAGGTATTGCATGTTTTAAAAATTCTTGTGGCACGCCAGTTGAAAATCCCTGCACTAGAGTATAAGCTCAGTGAGGTCAAGGCTGCCTCTGTTGCTGGAACATTCAAGGCCCTCACTCTATACAGATACACATTAAGTAGCTGATAGTTATTTATGAATGCATAGAAATGGAGTAAACAAAATAAAAAGAATAGGAATGGAGCAAATATTTGCTTAGAATATTTGCCCTGAGGGTCATCTCTTTAAGAAATGTAAGTCATTTGAGTAGTAGATACAAGGAGTATCAATACAAACAAAAAGTGGAGTCCCCAATATATCATATTTCTAAACTACAACCAATTTAAAAATCTTCCAACACTTTGTTTAATTGAGTTCAATCAACATTTACCAATGTCAAGATTTAGTTACAGTGGTTAAATTGCCCAGTTTTACTTTTACTTTATCTTTATAGCTTTCATACATTTTTTTGGTGCTCTGAAACAGTATACCAAAGCTCTAAAGTAGGAACCAGTTGTAAATAGAATGGCCCATCTTCCCTAGCAAATTGGGATACAGGGTATTCATATTAACATAAATCAGTTAATGTAAATGCTTCAGGAAGGAATCATTGATTTCTCTCAAATTAATTGGAAATGATCAATCAGTATATTAGAAGTGTGGCAGTAGCATCATTTATCAGGTACTAATTGTCACAGTGGGCTAAGAATGCCATTTTGGCTTAGAAATAAGGTGACCCTAAGGGAAAGAGTAGCTTGAATAATTACAGTAATTAATGTATATATGACTGTCTTTCAAAGCTTCATTACTCTTAATATTGGGATAGAGGTTTGAGTTCTAAAGAGCTTTGTTATTTTAAGGTCTATTGTTTTATCTTTTCCTATCATGAATAATAAGGATTTAAATCTTAAAAATTTTAATATGCAGTAATCCAAAAGTACAAGCTTAGTAGGGATATAAAATGTGAATAGTTTATGTTTTATATTTATATATATTCTACAAATAGTATGCTATGAATGAAGTCTGGTAATTTTAGGAATGTCTTTGAAATTTGAGTTTCACTCATTACTATTTAAAATTAGTTTATTTTAAAGGCAAATTTGTTTATCACTATAAAGTCTCCTCACTTTATATGTAACCTTTCAGTTTTATATTGCGTTACAAATATTTACTCATTTATTTCAAGCACTGATATCTACTTATATGTCAGACTATAATTTAAGGCACTAAAAAATTTACAAACCAATTTATTTAGCGTATATTTTTATGTTATGAGCAAAAATTATCATTTATTAAAATAAACTATGTCTAGAAAGCAATATGTGAGGTATAAATACATGTGTAGATCAGTATTAGATATTTTACCCTCCATAATTGTTCAAAGCTCTAATGGGATAGCTGTTGAAATATTCATTGTTATACAAGCATCTGACACATTATCAATACTTATTTGGTAAGATGTTGTATTTGAGGCTATGCATATATTTACGAGCATTGACAATATGCCAAAATACAATAAGAAAGTAGCATACTGTTAGCTTTCACTGAATATAGATGCATCCATGGACAAAATGGTCAAAAGCTCTTTGCTAATCTAACATAATACATACACTAAAAGTATTAACTGAATTTCAATCAAAATAGATGTTACTATCAAATTTCAAATAATATATTGCTAATAAATTGACTATCAAAATGCTGAATAGGAAAAACATGTAGATTATAAATTATTTTATAGTGTCTTCTAGAAATAAGGAGATCTCATAGTTTTGTAATAAATATTCTTGGCAGTAAGGGAGTAGTTTTTTTTTTAATCTGTTTTTAAAAGATGACTTTCACAATCTTTGATAATTTTTAAAAATATTCAGTATTTTACATAAACATTAATAGCCAAGAATAAGGATGAGTTTGGAGGCACACATTCTCTGCTCTGTTTTTTTAATAATTGTGAAAACACGTGTTCCTGACACTGCTGGTTTGAAATTGTGGGAAACAAAATAAATTACAAGTGACTAACAAGAGCAATTTGTAGAAGATATATGATCTAGTTCTCTAGTCAGCAGGCATGGGTTGCATATCGAATTACTATAGTACCCAAAACTAATAGCAGGCGCCATTTTCTAATTATAGCTGGAAGCACTGGACCTTGCATACTGCACCAGTAAATTGGCCCCAGTAGATTCAAAATGATTTTGCTGTTTGTCATTATATATGTTAGCTAAGGCAGGATATTTGAAGAATATGGTTTCTGCAATTTATAAAAAATATACCCATTTTCATAGTCTAGTTCTGTGGATGGAATATTAAACTTACTATTACAATATTCCATTTAAAAGGCACTTACAATTCTATTTAACAGGTAAAGAAGATTTAAAAAATTGATTTTTTTTTTTTTTTTTAACCATGGGAGAACTACAATGTAACTGAGGAGGCAAGGGGGAAATAAATTTAAAATTTGTTAAATGGCTTTCTTTTAAGACTGATTTTTATCCTATAGCACTATCTCTGGACAAGCTTTGATAAAATTTTATCATTGTTCTAAGCTTGCATGTTCCCATTTATACAATTGTGATAATAATAACTATATCCTCCTTTAGTAAAACAATTAAGATCATGAATATTCAAGGACTTCTTTTTAGTCCTTCAGAGTAATCTGTTGATGTCACATTTTAATTTTCCTTCATCTGGGAATGTCTTGAATTTCCCTTTATTCTTGAAGAATAATATAGCCAGAATTTGGGGTTGATATTCCTCCTTTTTTCAGCATTTAAAAATGTGCCATTTCCTTCTGGCATCTGTGGTTTATGATGACAAATCTGTCATTTGAGTAGTCTTCTCCCTCTCTAGTAAAATGTTATTTCTTTCCAAAAAATATTTTTAGTAATTACTATTTTGTGTGGGAACTTCATTTAGGTCATAGCATTTTTTAAAAATATGTTTATTGATTTTAGAGAGAGGAAGGGAGAAAGAAACACCAACTCGTCTCCCCCCATACACACACCAACCAGGAATCAAACCTGCAACCTAGGTATGTGCCGTGACGGAATCAAACCCCCAACATTTTGGTGTACCAGCTGATGCTCCAACCAACTGAGCCACACCAGTCAGGACTCATTTCTCTCTCTCTGCTTTAAGTTTTGTTTTTTGTGTGGTTTTTTTTTTGTTGTTGTTATTGTTAATTGCCTACAGTTTTCAGAAGTTTGATTATGATATATGTTGGTATAGATTTCTTTAAGTTTATACCATTTGGGATTTGACCAGTTTATTGAATCTATAGGCTTATGTCTTTGGCCAAATTTGGAAAAATTTCAGCCATTATTTCTTAGAATATTTTCAGCCCCATTCACTTTTTCCTCTCTTTCCTAGAGTCCATGACATCATGTTAAATATATTGTTTTATTCTGAAGTTGCTGAGTTTCTGCTCATGCTTCCTTAGTATATTTTCTCTCATTCAGGTTGGGTAATTTATATTCTGTGTTTGAATCCACTGATTCTTGCCTCTCTCCTCTCCTTTCTGTTGTTGAGTCTTTCCATTGAATTTTTATTTCTGTTATTACATTATTCAATTATAAAGTTTTTATTTGGTTTTTCTTTATATCTTTTATTACTTTATTGAGACTTTCCTTTTTTATTTAAGTGTTTGTCTTAGCTCATTGAATCATTGGTATGATAATTGCTTCAAAATTTTTATCAGATAATGCCAACATCTGCGTCATTTCAGCATTTGTGTCTTGTTGTCTTTTCTCATTCTCTAAGAAAACATTTTGGACAAAGTGTTTTTTTTTTTTATTCAAAAATAAGAAAAAAAAATCAAGCTCCTCTGTTTAGTGCCTTGGTAGTAGATATTATTTCAAATGTATAGACAGGGGACTTGCAGCATAGGGTCCATCAACCTTCAGAGGTTCAAAGAATTGGTCTGAGTTATTTTTAAACTCCTGAAATTATATGCAAAATTTGAATTTCATTGTTCAATTTTATTGGGAGGATCATTAGGTTCTCAAATGAATAAATGATACCAAAAGTTATGTTGACTCATGCTGCCCTATGTAGTACTTAGATGTATAAAGCAAGTTACTGTACCAAAATCAGCATGATCTTAGATATAATCAATAATTATAATAAAATAGGTAATATTGCTTAGGATTTTTTCGTATACAAACGCATTTAATCTTCGTAACAACTCACCAAGGTGAGTTATTTTCCCATTGTTCAAATAAGAGTTTCAATGGAAAATTATGGAGCTTTTTTTCTTTTTTTAAAAAAGATTTTACTTACTTACTTTTAGAGAAAGGGAAAGGAGGGAGAAAGAGAGGGAGAGAAACATGAATGTGCAGGAGAAACATTAATTAGTTGCCTCTCACATGCCCCTGACTGGGGACCTGGCCTGCAACCCAGGCCTGCGCCCCCACTGGGAATTGCACTGGCGACCCTTGGCCTGCGGTACAACACCCAGCCCACCAAGTCTCACTGGTCAAGGCTGAAGCTTTTACTTCTTGAGTAAAAGTAATCGTAGTGTAACAAGTTTAAAATTTCACATTACATCATCACATGTTGAGAGTTGAACGATTTTTGTTTCCCAATGAACTTAGTGTAGATCTCAGATCCTAATTTCGGCTGCTAGCAGAAAATTTCATTTTTTTCAGTTTAAGATAATGCCTGTGGTTTACATCCCAGTCTTCTCTGGATACCCCTTTCTGGTTCTGTATTCTGTAGGTGATCTCAGTTGGGGAGAGCTTTTTATGTCATCCCAGCATCTGTTCTGACCTGTGGACACTCTTCTGTTCTTTTGGCATGGGTAGTAGGTGAAGGACTTCCCGATCGCTCCTTGACGAATATGCCCACACCTCAGCTGCCACTGGCAGCACCAGTGTCCTGAGAAGTAGTCATATCCTCCATCCAGACAGCACTTTCGAGGCTGTCCATTCCGCAGCTGGTACTCCTGGTTTCCCTGTATCCCCGTTGCTACTTCATCAGGTATACAGGCCCTTAATTCTCAGGCATGTAAATAATTTTCACAACTTGTCAATGTCCTGTGGAAGCTAAGTAACATTCGAAAGGAAGAGAGAGGAGGAACTTGAGGCCCATAGTCTTTTGCGACCTGCCGTGCCTGCCTGGTGGCATGGATGCACTCTGCATGACGGCCTCAGCCCTGCCTCCAAG